CCCCAAAACCCCAAAACCCCAAAACCCCATGATGATTTAGCGCTAATCTAATTAAAGATTGGGGCAATTAAAATCTAAATTGTTAGTTTTAAATAATAATGCCCAAAATAAGAATAGCAGATTTCATACCAAAGCACCAAGTAAAAATTGATGCAAAGAGGCACTTGATGGCTCAATAAGTGTATTAACTGGAGGATATAGAGAACATTAAGATAACTCACAGAGAGCCTCAAGGAATCAACGATAAACTAGCTCTTAAATGGGTTGGCGCTGTGAGATGGTTTCTAAATCTATCAACTGGCAAAGACCCTGAGAAGAGAACTGAGGATCAATGGTTAACAAGAGTGTGCTTAATGGAAACTCTCGGCCCCGTGCCATCAATGACTATGTCTTTGGGCAAGCACATGAAGAGTGTCTTTTCCATGAGAGTAGATAGAGCAATGATTCACACCCTTCTGGAGGAGTCTGAGAGCGAGAGGGCCCACTTATTCTTATTCATGCAACTTAAGAAACCTGGGTTCTTTTTCAAGCTGACAGTGGCAACTAAATAGTTCTTGTTCTTCAATGTTTTCTTCCTTGCCTACCTCTTCAATCAAAAACTTTGCTACAGATTTTCAGGCTATCTTGAAGAAGAAGCAGTTTTCAACTACACTTTGCTTCTTAGATAGCTAGATTCTGGAAATCTGCCAAAGCTAAAGAATATGAAGGCACCAGAAAAAGCCATAGACTATTATAATTTACCTGAGGATGCTACGTTCAAGGATATGGTTTTGTGTGTGAGAGCTGATGAAGCCATGCACAGAGAATTCAATCACTACTTTGCTGAGCTTAGCTCCAGAGACGATGCGGATGAACTTGATATCGCTAATACAAATGTGGAGACCAGAAATGTAACTAGTCAAGAAAACCCTCAAGGAAGCTGATGCATTTATGATCTAGAATTCTGATGATTAAAAAAAGTCTTCTAGAATAATCTTTTATTTAATAAATTAATACATAAATTAAAGATTTATCAAGCGGGGTTTTGGGGTTTTGGGGTTTTGGGG